TAAAACTTCTTCAAAGAATTAAACGTGTAAAAGTTGTCGTAGTGAATTTTGGTACAACGGTTCTAAATAATCGATATAAAAAAAAAAAAAAAACCCATCCAAAACACAATGAGCTAACTGCCAAAATAAATTAGACGTCGTCTGCGAAAGAATCCCCATTCTCTTTATAATTTGTTTTCCACCTAATTAACTTTTTTCTTTCTTGTTTCTTCCAATCTTTTTTTTTTTTTTTTTTTTTTTTTTTCATTTATAAATAATAATAATGATAATAATTATAATAGAGTAATAATAATAATAAGAACAAACAAGGATAATGTGTCGGTGTGTGTTAGTTAATCTTAAAAAAAGAGAACACACAGTTAACAAGACTCTCGATTAGAATTTCTAATTAGTTGGTAATGTTGAAAAGTTATATAAAACTAAACAAAAATACCAGTTTTATCCACCAGCCATAATGACTTAGGTTTACGGAATGAAATTAATGCACGCATTAATAGCAAATAGTAGATGTTTCATATATGAAGCAAAGAAAAGCTCTAACATACGAAATACCCAATGGAAGGTATACGTAGAAAGAGAAAAACGCATAAAGCGGTTTAACATGATTTAATTTTATAATATCAATTTAAACAGATAATTTGCTTTTGAAGATGGAAGTAACGAGAGAGTATTAAGTCGAACATAAATGAACATTTCATTATTATGGTAATGATGGTGGCGATAACAATAATAATAATAATAATAATATATATATATATATGTATAAACACGTATATGTATGTATAAAAGTGCACACGGAGATGATGGTACATTTTAAAAAAAGCATTCATTGGGCAGAAGCAATATTTCTAAAGACAGATTAGATAAATTATTATTATTATTTCTTTTTTTGTATTCTCTTAGAAAAGTAGTTATTTATTGATTAATATGTGTGTTAAATCGATTTCATATTTTGAAAATTACCAATACTACATTTGTAAGTTTAACGTATGCGTAATAACAAAATGACTGATTGGATCTAACGATGAACTAAACATTTCAATTTTCATATTTCATCCAATAATAAAAGGGTTCGGTCAATAAATTATAATGCATATCAGAGTGCAACAATAATGCCCAATTGCCTCTCTTTGTATACTATTTGCAAGTGTTGATAACTTTTGGGTGAAAATATTTAAAAAAAAACTATTATCGGTTGTGTGCACATAAAAAGAAGAAAGAGAAGAAGAGGAAGAAGAAGAAAAAGAAGAAGAAGAAAAAAAAAAAGAAAAAAAAGAAAAATAAGAAAGCAAGCAAGCAACATCATTATTATTATATTTCTATAAAAGCCCTCGAAATAATGCGTCTTTCTCTCTCTCTTTTTTACTACCATCTTAAAACGTGAAATACTGTGATTAAGTATTATAATATTAAATGAATTTTAAATCGTTTTCTTTCCATTTCTTTTCACTCAAATAGGAATTTATGGTTTGAAATATCTCTCTCTGTTTTTTTTTTTTTTTTTTTTTATTTTTTTTTTTTTATTTTTTCTCTCTCTATAAGGACAAGTAATTAAAATGGAGAATCATGATGCGAATAGATTTACATTGGTTATTCTTGTATAAATCCATTTCGCATTATGTTCCCACCTTTGATTTGAGCTTAAGAAAGAAAGAAAAGCTACGATTCTATTGCTAACATACATTATCATTCAGAAGGAATCATGTATCATAATGTATGTCTTCAGTAGAGAATAAATTGTTAGTTGTAAGGGTATATATTATTACCGAGGTAATGCAATTTTTCCACTATTGTATTTTCCATGCGAGTTAAAGAAATAAAAACAAAAAAAGGAAGAAAAAGAAGAAGAAGAAGAAGAGTAAGAGAAAATGCAGATGCAGATAAAAAAAAATAATACATACGAATTGGCACACACAATGATGAAAAAATGGCTAACGTAATGTGATTTTCTAAAAGGAAAATAAGAAATTCTACAATCTCTTTCTGTAATATCATAATATTGTCATGAATTTTTTTTGATCGTGCAATCTTCTATCAAGGTTTTTTTTTTTTTTATATATACACAGGCGGCTCCCCTATAGTTTAAATATTAAATGTAATCATTTTAATTGTATGCGATTCTATACAGCGTTGATAATAAATATGAAATAGTTCTCCCCCTTTCCCCCGTCTCTATTGTGTAAATCTATAAACGGTTTAATAGAATCGTATACAATAACGTCTTAATTATATAATACACGATACACATTTTTTCCATTGCGTTTTATCGTTTCTTACTATAGAAAAACATAACGTCATATCTCATTTTTGTAATTGAGAAATAAGAAATGTTATGGTTTCTAAAATTGTAAGAAGAAAGGTGTGTTACTATGAAAGAAAATTCTTTATCGTTGCCCATTCTAATAATTTTACTGATCATCATCTATTTTGCAAACCGATAAAAACAAATATTCGTTGTTATTATTCGATTAATAATTCTGGTGCGTTTTAAACTCTGCATCCTCTCAAACTTAATAGATTACTTCTTTTGCGAAATGTAAATTATTATTTTTTTTTTGTTTTTCTTCTGTTTTTCTCTGTCATATTTTAAAAAGAGTCGAAGTTGCATCTAAGAAAAGTAAAACACACAACAACAACAAATAAAACGAAATAATAATAATAAGAAAAACGAAAATGACTGACCATTGTGTCGTGCGAAAATTTGTTTTTTTTTTCGCATGTACGAGGAGTTGTTTCGTTGAAGTCTTGAAAAGGTATATAAAAAAAAAAAAAAGGAAAAAAAAAAGAAAGAAAGAAAGAAAGAAAGAAGGAAGAGGAAGGAAGGAAGGAACGAACGTAAGAGAAAATAATGAATAAAATTATTTTCTGTTCATTAGATGTAGACCGAGATGACTGCTTGAAGCTTACCGTTCAAATTTTTTTTTTTTAACAATATATAATTACTACTATTATTATTAATATTATTAATATTATTATTATTATTATTATTATTAATATTATTGTTGTAAGCAAAATGCAATTCTCCATATAAGTTTAACTTTGACTCTTTGTAAACTATGATGGACTCTACTAATTTATTAATTGTAGAGTCGAAATTATATCACGTAGCATTGATTAGCAATGCTAAAATTATAATGGTCCAAAGAAAGTGTCAATTTATTGAATTGAAATATTAACTAATAATCTAAACAAATAACGCAGAACTAAACATAAGAAAAATCGTGATTCGTCTGTACTATATATATGCTATTGTTGAACTATTGGCATATAATAATTTTTGTTCGTTAATTAATAACATGAGAATGCAAAAAATATAATAGTAATTATGTAATAGTAAAAAGAAACATTTAAAAAAAAAATTGTTCTCATCTAATAGACGACACTTTCTTTGGATTAGAAATGAATCGAAGATATATCCTTGAAACTATTTATTTCAAGGTTGTCTTTGAATTTTGATCATGAATAACAATTGACCAATTGTTATTTCTTTTACACCGCAAAGGTGTGTTATTTTTTTTATTTTTTTTTGAAAAGAAAAAAAAAAAGCAAATTGAATGAAAAATGTAAAAAAAAAAAAAAAACTGAGAAATGGGTTAACATTACGGGTAAAGAGAAA